ATTTGCCAGGTAACGCTAGGACAAGAAGGGAAAGAAAAAAATGAAAATATAAATTCTCATTAATTTAAGCCGCTTGTAGCAACACGTTCGCGTATTCCGCCATTCTGTTGCAAAGTGCGCGACAAAAGAAACTAAATAGGATGTAGTCAGTATACAACGCATCCAGCTTGTTTTTAACATCTTACAAATTGTACAAGAGAGACATTGTAATTTAAAAACTGTTTCGTTTCAGATTTCAACAGAATTATTAAAATATTACATGCATAATCATTATCAATGAACGAATAAATGCAATCTTAATGATCAATATTAAGGTAAAATTAAATTATTTCTATTGGTCGTTGAATAAACAGTCGTTAAAAGGGATTCGATTGGAAAATCGAAGCTTTCTTATAGAAATTCGCACCGGGTTTCTTTCGCTAGTCAAAACTGCAACAAACTGTGAAACACGGTTCACCCTTAGTCTTAATCTACTTTCTGCTTATTCCAGTTTTACAGGAGGCAGCCCAAAGCCGAACTTAACTTCGCCGCCCCGTATCCTTAAATCCGATCCGTTTTTCGTTTCAAGAGAGATCCAATTCGTCTCACGGTAAAATATCCGTCCGCAACTTTCGGTCGAGATCCGATGTGTATTCTATCCACGTATATATTTTTGTGGCAAATCCAATTCCTTGGTTCTACTCGTCTCGACAAAATCCCTTATTAATCTTAGCAATCCTTATCAGAGATTGTTATAGTCCATCTACTATACGTTGGTTCCAAAGTCATATAAGAATCCCAATGCCATACATAAATACAGGAATTAGGGAATACAGTATCATATCGACGTCTTTGCAATAAACAATTCTATTTATTAATTAATTATTGATGCTAGCGAAAAATTTTTATACAGAAATAGGGAGTTATTGGCCAAAAACGAAAATTTCACAAAATCTGAAGGGGTACCCCTTGAAAAATCTCGAAAAAATTGAAAAATTTTTTTTTGCCAAAATTTCAAGAAATGCTTCAAATAAAAGTTGTTTTTCTTCTAACTCCATTATTTAACAAGTTAAATACGATTAATCGGCGTTTTATTCGTTCTGACAAAATCCGGCTGTTCAACCGTTGAAACACAGCAAACCTTTAGGAAAAAATTTCGTATTTCCTCAAATATTCCTAAACTGTTGAATTCCTACTATGTAGAAATTGCATACGACCTTTTTTGTATCTAGCAACTACAAGGTTTATATTGGAAGTCAAACGTCGAGATCGGAATTTTTCAAATTGAAACCAAACGGAACGAGATATAAAAGACGACCGCTGGAGAACACTTACCGCAGAGAAATTTTGTCGGTTCGGGTAAGCTAAAGGGAAATGCGCGACCTGGATGTGAAAAATTGCGCGTCCAAATATTGCACGCGTTCGATTATTGTGCGTATCTATGCGAGAAGAAGCACGGTTAAAAGTGCGCCTCGTCAAAAAGAAACCGTGGAATCCTGTGAAGTTTCTAGCAGACTGGATGGAAAAATGCAATATGGACGGTGGCACGTAAAAGATAGCGGCGCCGGGACAAATAGCGTGTTATACTACTGTATATGGGATACCGAAAATGCTCGGCAGTCGCAGCGAGAAATTGTTCTGCGATTTACTGACGTTTTGGTTCACACGTTAACAATAAGTATTATTTTAACAATTAATCGTTTTTCGCCTGCAATTAAAAATGATTTGATTTCATTTTTATTTTAAGTATACAAAAAGGTTTTATTTCAGCTTTCAACGTGTGCTCCGACGTTTTACTATGAAAATTACAATCCATGGTATTGTATTGTAAAATTCATAACAAGTGTATGACAACAGAAAATAAAATTGCAAATTGAAAGGAATAAACATCGTTTACAGCAAGCGAAACATTACGAATACAGGCTTTCATGTACAAAGCGTACATGAAAAATATTACTTTTGAAATAGCCAACATTGGATAGAAACGGAATGTTTTTCTACTTTGTTTTTTTACGTTTCAAGGTAGAAAAACTGCTAATATCTTTCATAATTCATAAAAAGCGTGTAAAATATCAATGTGTTTAATTCCATTCATCTTGTAAAAACCTTTAAAGTAAAAATGCGCAGTATTCTTTATGTATATGCATACGCACAGAAATTCACAGTAAAATCCGAGCTTTTACCATTTTCCGCTTGTTGCTGGTAAAATGTTCCTCTAGTCTAATTAAAGATCTGATTTCTTGTATAAACGTGAAACCAGAATAAACTGCATCCGCAGCCATAGTAAAGCAACAGTTTTCATGGTTCAACATTTAACATTAAAAATGAACGGTTACTTAATTATACTCCAGCATCTTCTAACCCACTTAGTTAACTTGCAGGTTTATTATTTAAGTAGTCCGCTAGAATTTAACAGTCTTCCTGTTATTAGCAGATTATATTTTCTTCTACATGTTCATGTATCTTCCCGAAGCAATGTTCTTCCCTTTTTCATTAAACCCAGATTCTTTTAAACACGACTACGTGACGACCATATATCTTCCTCCAGTTTAAGTCAATTTTCCAGAAATTCTGAACGTTTGCTAAAACCGGCGTCCGGCCCGGCGAGTTTTTCGGCAAGGGTAAGATGAATCCCGGGAGATAGGATTGTTAAACGATCACCGTGAGTAGACTTGTGGACGGTACGTTTTTCCTTTATCTTTTTTATGGGTCAGTTATATTTCAGTGTCCGAACTATCGGGAAAGCGATCTCGGATATCGAGATCGTTCCTCATGGATCGCTTTTGGTCTCTAACTATTCTGTCCCTGACACGCCTTGTGTTTCTCTTTCAGCTTCCAATCATTTCGCCGTTGTGAAATTGTCCGGCAGAATAGGGGCGTTCGGTTTTCGTGCGGCGATAAAATCGTGATTGAACTCTCGCATTTCATGATGTTAATGTAATTTCATTCGGTAGCTTCTTGGCTGAAAAACGTCGCGGCTACATAGACATACTAAAAAATTTCCTGATATACATCTGCAAATTCATTTGTTTGAAACAGCTGAATCTTTAAATACAATCTAAAACTTTAATCGCGTTTTAATCATGCTCCAGATACTAATAATTCAACTACCATCATGGAAGCAATTTACGAACTTCTTTTACAGCTGTACGCGTATTTTTATAACGACCACATGCTGTCAAAGATAGATAGCTTTTATTCGTCGAGACATGAAGTAGTTCAATTGCAGAACGTGATGGCGCTCATTTGTCAAGCTGTATACATATAATACGTTACTAAACTTAACGAGTGCCGCGGCGGCCCTTAATGGACAGGCCCTCCGCGTATTATTTATGCATTCCACGCGATTCTGACCAGTAATGTCTTTCATTCGCGTACCGTCGTGTGTTTCGACCGGTCGTCGTACGCGAATATTCTTTCTGAACGATATTTACCGGTTAAGTATCCCAAGTATCGCATACTTTGTCCCATAGAATTTCTGCATAAATTGTTCTGCAAAGTTACTGCATAAATTCGTTGTTATTATGTTATTTTGCGAGTTAATTAATGCCCATTAATGTGAGTGTTATAAATAAAAGTCTATTGCGTGTATAAAGATTATCGAATTTTTGCACATTTAAATTATAATTGCTTGGTTAAAAAGCTACATATATTACTTCATAAAGCTACACTGTATTGTCATTAATGAATGAAATGCTCAAAATAAGTACTCAACATAATATAATGTAATGTATAAAAATAAGTAACATATACTTGCGTGGATATAGTAGTGTGATGTTCATTATTAGAACTTCTTCGAAGTGTTATACTCCGCGATGCAATTTCTGTAGGTTCGTTACTAAGGTTCCGATCAGTGCGATCGATCCAACAATTTTGATAGATCTACTCGGCCGCACGTGAGACTCGGTCGCTAATAGCACGTTCTTCTTCCTCTGACCGTTAGCTTCGATCTAAAATCCTTTCTCACGAACATTATTTATACATTCCGTAGAATCCCTGGTCCTTTTATTAGCCGTTTCGTCGTAGCACAGTTTCTCGTTTAAGCCGTTTATCGTTAAACCGTGGTCTGGTCCCTTGGACCGATCGGAACGGCGAGATTGCCACGGTGGAGCGCGTCAGCCGTGACCCGATAAAGCTGATTTTAGGTCGCCGCACGAGTATTCTCTCTGGCCTCGCCTTTCTTCCTCCTCCTTCCCCCTCTTTTCTTGGTGCGCGGCGCTTTCTCTTATCTCTAGCCACGATCCAGCTACCCTCGCCTTGGCTACAGCCCGTAACCGTTCCTTTCCATTCGACGCGAACCAGCGCGAAAAGAGAAGGCCCGGAACTCAATACGCGACTGATTGGTTTGCGCGATTGTCCGTGGCCTGTGATTGTCTCCGGAGCACGGCGGAGAAATCCGCCGGCGAGGAACGTCAAAGAA